GACGATGAACAGAACAGCAATGCCGATCATGTAGTCCCAGCCATAGAACACGTGGCAGCAGCCACGTCAACCAATGATACACGTGGCAGCAGCCAACATCAGCGACAGCGCATGGCAGCTGCCACGTCAGCATGCCAAGAAGACCGGAGCAAGCCGGCCACCATGCCGGACTAGCAGCACCTCGCCAAGTCACAATGCCAGCGTCGCAGCGTCAAGCCAGCATTGAAGTCAACGCGTGAAGTCAGCATCAACGCAAGACAGAATGAATGTCAAAGTCAGGAAGTCAGCGCTTATGTAGTGTTGACGCCGGGTCTGGACCCCGGTTGCTGCCTACCTCAATCGTCCAGATCTCAATGCAAACGAGGGCCCAGATTGGTCTGAAACCGAATTCCCTCCGGCGTGGATGCTCTCTGGGTACCTGCGCACAACAAGTGAGTGTATCCAACCAAGGGCCTGGGTGCGGTACCTTTGACTCTACAGTTGACTTTGACCCTTAATTTCCTGGGTGCAGTGTTCGGTCACACAGCCATTCATGACAGACTCAGGCCTGGGCGTGTCTTGGTCACACAGCCCAGCGCAGACCATTTCAGGTCATGAAATGGTCTGCGCGGCCTGGGGCTGAGTTCTGGGCCCCAAGCTACTTCTAAACAGGGTTATTACATTCCTGCCGGCCCATTTTCGAGTTCCACCGCAGAAATATTTAAGACTTTAACCCTCGTTCATAAGCAGCTACAATATCAGGAGTAGTTTCAAGTAGTTCTCGTTTACTAAACCATCTGTACAGATGGTTCTTGAGTTTTAAAATGTACCTTGAACTGCTTCTGAGGTCGTCAACATCCTCCCATAGATAAGTAACCATACTCTATGATCCTGTCAACCTCGTATCCGCCATCCATGTCTGGTGGAATCATAGAGAGTGTGTGTAGAAACTCGTTTCCTTCTACGTAAGGCAACAATTTGGACGCATGAAAGACATGATATGGTTTGAGATCAGGGGGAATATCAACTCGATAAAACGGTCCCTCTGCACCTCCAATTACCTTGAGAACTTCCCAGGGTCCAAAATAGACAGGTAGCAATTTTTGGGACACATCTTCTTCTAGTGAAAACTCTTTAGATTTTACTCAAACCATATCACCCTCTTTGAATGTAGACGGTTGACGGTGCCTGTTGGCTTGTTCAATCATCCATAGTTGAGCTTTCCTTAGATTATCTTTAACTTCCTGAATGCCCTCCTGAAACAAGATTGCATATTCTCGGGTCCCTGGGGGCAACCTAAGGAACTGGTCCCGATTTAGTACATCAATGGGGGACGTTTAGGCTTCCACCCTTTGTGAAGTGCATTTGGGGTTCGTCCAGTAAAAGTGTGGACACTATTGTTATATGCACTCACAATTTTAGGTAAGTTCTCGTCCCAATCAAACTGATCAGGTCTAATATACATACGCAGAAGTTGTTGGCACAGATGGTTCATCTGTTCAGTCTGGCCATTCGTTTCGGGATGCCTCCCTGACGACATGGTCAGCCGTGTGCCATAAGCTTCCATTAGCTTTTGCCATGGCAGACTGGTGAACCTGACATCTCGATCAAACACAATGGTTTTAGGGAACCCATATTCAGTGACCCATCACATCTGAAATTTTTGAATGACAAGTTCAGTACGCGCTTCTGCTGGTAAGGGAACAAACATAGCATATTTAGAGAAACGGGCTACAATTACCATCACTTGACTATTACCATTGCAACTTTTAACCAAAGTCATGAAGTCCATTGAGATAGACTCACCTGGTTCACTTGGTATAGGTAATGGCTTGAGAAGTCCAAGGGGATTCTCATGCGACGGCTTGTTTCTCTGACACACTAAACAGGTACGAACATATGTTAGTACATCTTCTTTAAGTCCCTTCCATTCGAAACGTTCTCTGACTTCAGCATATGTTTTCTTGAAACCAAAATGACCCTCAGAATCCTGACATTCCCCAATGAACAGACTTTTAATCTCTTCCTTATGGGGAATACACAGTCTTTGTTGGGTAGTTGGGACGGATCTCGTACAAGGATATCCATGATTGGTTTCCAGATAGGATCAGTAGCATATCCTTGGCGAATCTGGTCTTTCAAATCATTCCCAACATCCAAATAAGAGACAATTGCACCAAAGAAATCACTCTGTCTGGACAATGCATCTGCAACCACATTAGACTTACCTTTGATCGTTTTCAATTCAAAATCGAAGGTATCAATAAACCCAGACCATCGTACCAGCTTATCAGAGAGCCTAGACTGTGTCTTTATCCACTTTAGAGTAAAGTGGTCCGAGTACACAGTAAAGTGCCTCCCTAATAAGTAGTGCTTCCATGTGTTTAGTGCATAAACTAAGGCATACAGCTCCCTTTCATAGGTGGAGTTGGCCAATTTTTCCGACGGCAGTCGTGCAGACATAAATTCTATGGCTTGCCGTCATCCTGTTGGAGAACAGCGCCAATTCCATACTGACTTGCATCAGTAGTGACAATGAAAGGTAAAGACGGGTCAACAATCTTAAGAACGGGGTAGTGAGTCAGGGCATACTTCAATTTCCGAAAGGAAGACTCACAATCCTTGTCCCACAACCAGATTGTTTTTTTCTTTAACAATCTTCGCATTTGTGCAGCAATCAGTGAGAAGTTTCTGACAAACTTCCTATAATAACTAGCTAGACCAAGGAAAGATCGCAATTCAGTAATTGAATTTGGTTGTGGCCAATCTCTTATTGTTGATATCTTTTTATCTTCTGGCCTTAGACCTTCTTCGTTTACACTGTGTCCTAGGTATAACACTTCGGACTTAGCAAACTTAGACTTCTTTAGGTTAATCTTGAAGTTGCCCTCACGCAACTTCCCAAGCACCAGACGAAGGTGCTTCTCATGATCTTCTACTGTCTTACTGTACACTAGAATATCATCGAGATGGACAATGACAAACTTATCCAACCATTGACGAAACAAGTCATTCATTGACCTTTGAAAAGTGGCAGGGGCATTTGTTAATCCGAAGGGCAGTACCACGAACTCGTAGGGGCCATACCTGGTCCGAAAAGCGGTCTTATGCTGATCGGAGGGTTCCACCTCGATCTGGTGATACCAAGATTTCAAGTCGATCTTGCTGAAATACTTACAGCCCTGCAACTGGTCCAACAGATCATCAATACGTGGTAGGGGTTCGGCATTCTTTACAGTGACGAAATTCAACCCTCTATAGTCTATACAGAGACGTAGCTCACCTTCCTTCTAAGGTACAAACAAAACAGGAGCACCATAACGAGAGGAGCTAGGGCAAATCCATCCTTTTTTTGTTAAGTCTTGCAATTGTTTCCTCAACTCCTCAAGTTCCCTAGTAGACATCCGATAGATAGGGCCCTTGGGAATCTTACTTCCAGGAATAATTTCAATGGTGTGCCTAATTGCACGCTCAGTTATTCCTGTGGGTTCAGTGAATAATTCTTTATATTCGTTTAGAAGTTTTTCAATCGAAGGAGGGTAGGAAGTAGAACATTCACCTGCTTTCTTCACCAAGACCATCATTACTTCCTGCTCCAACTTTTTCTTTGAAACCATCGATCG